ACGAAGCTCGTTGTGCCGAGAAATATAAAGACATTTGGGCGGAGTACACCAAACTTGTCCCTTGGAGAATATTGCCTTATGTTTATTAGCACCAACAGACCGTTACCTGTGCAAAATGTGAACGCTCTTGTCGCCAAGATGTTCGTCTTCGTCTTGTCTGGTACGCTGTCTTCTATTCTTCTTCAGGACACAACTTTCATATGTTTTCCATGTTCATGGATTCTCTGCATTTTATAAGGTTTATGTTTAGTTGTTTCTGTCTGCTCATTTTGTCTCAACTTGATCAACCTGCACTTTATTTTCTAGAATTAATAAAACCAAGTAGCTCTCACCAAACAAAGACAACGACCTTGTCTTTGAGTCCCCATGGCCATACAAGGTAGAAAAGTATTCATTGGAATCTCGATATACATTTTAAATTTGATTCATCTAAGTTCAATTCAACTAGTTAAGATATATATTTTCGACTAGAAGTAAAATGTTTAAATTCTATGACCGCTATTATACTAAGTCTTAAATTTTACTGGTTGAGTTTTGATTCTTAAACTTACATTTTTAAATATATTATTTTGATTTCTAAATTTTTTAAATACTCATTTTTAGATATATTTGTCAATTTTTGTATTGTATTTGACATAAGTATTTGGATATCCATTTTTAAATTCAATATCAAACTCATTTCCAGTTAAGACAGGCTAATGCTATACAAATTTTCTTTTTATTAAATATAATACGAAAAAAAAAAACTTTTTATACGAAATTCAATAATTTAAATCAACTAGATTAACCTTATATTAGAGGCTATAATATAGTTTGAAGTATAATTAAATCATAATTATTATGAATTAGATTTTAAGGAATTTATAATTATAGATTTTCTGTCTTCGAAAAAGTAAAAGGTTGAGTTAATTCTTTGGTTGAAATGTTTCCATCCATCATTTTTTCTTTCCTTTTTATTTATTTATTATTATTATTTATAGAAAATTCATTGTACACTATTGAATAAATAAAATATTATTAAAAATAAAAATAGATGTAAGAATGTTTAGTTAGCTCAACGCCCACGAGTCCATCTATATAAATAAAAATAGTTTATTGTTAGATTTCGTATATTTTCTTGGTAACCTTGTATTTAAAATCGAAAATTTGAAAATAGGTTAAGAATATTTAATGTTTATAAAGGTTACTGATATTGTAACTTGTAAGTATTTGATATTTGAATTTTATGAGATTTTAATAGCAATGTAACATGCATAAGTTTTTTTAAATAATTAAAAATATAATCTGCCAACCCAATCCAACTTAGGATTAAATTGTGAATTCTATCATGGTGGTTCATGTCACCAACTCAACTAACTCGAAAATTTACAATAGTCCAAGCTTTTTTTTTAATCTTTAAACAATAAACTATTTTGATCTTCACATTTTTTTTTTTTTTAATTTTGAAAATTTGAGAGAATACTACTCATTTAGTTTTCTACTCCAAAAAATTGACTTATAATTATAAAAAATTAAAATACAACTTGTATCAATTTTTAAAAAAGATTAAAAATTATTTTATCAATTGAGTTGTGACCGACTGTTTAACTTGACTTTTTCGGACTAAAAAATCAGAAAAATCGTTAACCGTTTTATAAGGTAGTTGGTGGGTCCCACAAATCCATTTGGTCGCAGAAGATATTATTGTTTGTTGGACAGTTTCTCTGTGTCTCATCTTATCCATATTCACAACTAATAACTACATTAATTAAAAGCCTAAACTCTTATTTAAATATTATATCGGTGTGCAGGTGTATAAAACTTATTTAAATATAAGAACTAACGTATATTAGATAAAAATATTGAAATAAAATAAATAGTAGTTAATTTTCTTTAATTGACATTTCCTTTTATTTTACTCTACTTATTCAAGAATAAATACACCCTTAATTTACTTGCCGAGTATGATTTTGGAAGCAGAATAAAATTTAGGTAGTTATAAGTTTAGTATAAATGAAATTAAGAGAAAACAATTATAAACTACTTAAACTGAATAATTTATAAAAATTTATGATTCAAATGTGAAAAAATTATTAGTTTATGATTTTAATTGAAACTAGAAAAATAGAAAGAAAAAAAAAAGAAAAAAAAAAGAGGGTAAATGGTACCGGTAATAAATGTGATTAAATTACAATAGAACACTTTTGAAGTTTGTTAGATAAGACGAAGGGTCCAATGAGGTTCGAGAAAAAAAAGGCGGCCATCACAATCCCTTTTGTTAATTCATTACACGTGTCGGTCTTGTATAAAAAGAAAAAAGCACACAGTTTCCAGTGACTCACAGAGTGAAGCTATCTAACCTTGAATACAAGACGAATTAGAAAAGGGTGAAGACTTAACGGAGGTATTCATTGACAAAATGGCAGCATTTGATGATGAAACTGGTTTGTTTTGTTTGGCCAGGTGGCGGTATTAACCATGTTAACGTTACCCTTAATTAACACCCCCAAAGTTTAAAACAATATTATTATTTTAGTTTATTCATTCTATTTGGGCTAAAATATTTGAACTTTCCAACTTAGTACACTTTACAAACTCTAATTAATTTAATAAAATTTAAATATTAGATTATAAATTTAATTCTTGAATTAATTTAATTAGTTTTTAAGGGTTGAAATAAAATTCTATTTTGTCACTAAATGAGTCTTATGTTAAGATTTTAAAAATAATTTAAAATAATTTATAAAGTTAAAATTTAGTTAGTTTTTAAAAACAAAGTGGATGTGATAATTGTGTGAAAGTAGCTATTAAGAAAAACCACTCTAAGTTATCATTTTAAAAATTAGAAGTTAACCAGATAGAATTTTAACTCAAATCTATAAAAATAAAGATGCATGGTACATTTCTTTTAAAATTTTGAAATAAATTAAAGTATTAAAATTCCCAACGAAATGAAATAAAATTTCCACCTATAAATGCACTAAAATAAGTGCCTTAAAATTTGGGTACCGTGGAATATATTTAACTTAAATCTTTGTCTATTAGAATGACTGTAATTATGTTTTAAAAACATTGTGACGGAAGCAAATTACTTTTTGCTTTAAAGGCTCCCTTTTCTGTGCCAAAATAAACCTTTTGTTTTGAAATAATCAATGATATTGCATATTATTTAATCATATACGTACCACGTCATACCGCTGCTTGTTGATGACGATCGCAATCCACCGCATCCACCAACCAACTACCAATTGAAGAGCGTGCCCGCACTAGATTGCTACTCTAGAAACGGGGACTAGTAACGACGTCAGTGACGGTTCCTTCACGTCATGAAATTTTGCGATTGAATGGATAAGAGAGAACCAAAACCACTTTCTCGATCTTAACGCCAAAGCCCTAACATCGTAGTTTTGCCGTTAAAGCAGGAGACCCCACCATCGAATTTTTAACCCTCCAACAAGTACCAAACATCGAGACGACGTTGCCACGTCATTCTCTTGATTTTCCGTTAGCTCATGTGCGCTAGTTCCCAGACTCGATTCTAACGGGCTGTGGTAGTTAATTCCACCATTATTTCCAGTTTTGCTCCTCGGTCGTTGCTTCTATCTCACTCCACATCTTCAATGATCCTGCACCAATAAAATATATATAAACAAAAAAAATTAAAATAAAATAAGTTAGTCATCCAAGATATACCTACGCTTTCTATTGCAACAAAAAAGAATTTATATTATATAATAAAGTCAATGCAAATTAGAAATGAATAAAAAAATTTAATATCAAAATTGTAAGAAGGTAATTTATTACCATGCATGATATATCTATATACCTTCGTGGAGAATAAGAAACTATGTACCGCTCTTGATACGATACTCAGATATAGCATAAAAAGAGAGAATGGCCAAGAAGAAATTAAGAAATCAACTGATCAAAGAGCTCTGCAAATATACAAAACCCTCTATCTTTGTGTTTGGCTTTCCCTTGCAAATCGTTTGCAGAGATAAAGAGAGTGAAGGGCTGAAGGAAGATAAAGATTTGTTGGCCTTCCGGTGAGTAGTAACTCAGATCTCGCTACATTGACTCAGTCCTCCGGTAACTATTCCCCTGAAAGTATGCTAATTTTTCAGCTTAATTAATTTAGTAATGGAGGGAAATGGAAGGGGAAATATTGTGGCTTGTTAGGGGTTTTTTTCGTCTTCCCCTGCCATTTCCGATGATCGCTCTAGCTTTGGACTGAACTTCTCACTCTTTCTTCTTTTTCTCTCTCTATTTCATCTTCTTTCCCCCATTTTTGAAAGCTCGTTTATGTTGCCATGAAAGAGCAGAAGGGTTTTACGAGGGAGATCTTTTTAATTCAGATAGGCTCTTAATCGTTGTATAATTTTGTACTATTTTTCAGCTACGATCTGCTTGAGCTGAAACATAAAACTGGTTTTTTAGGCTTTCTCAGTGCTAAGATACACCATGAAATTTCTAAACTTGCCGCGTTTTCTCACCGTGAACAGAGAATTAAAATTAAGAAAAGAAGGCATACCTTTGCCGGGAAAAGAGAGGCCATGCTTTCTGGAACAAGCTTGAGGGCAAAATTGGCTCTTCCGCTTGAGTGAAAACCAATCAAATGGATTCCAGCCAACCTGAGGGAAATAAGGCCCACGTTCAAGGCGGTTCTTGGATTCCGGCGACACCCGTGAAGCCCATTCTACCAAAACCGCCGCTGCAGCCGCTGATCTATGCAAGGATGGACTGGAATCAGTCACGACCATGCTGGTTGGGATCAGAGAGACTCTCCTCAAATTCTAACAAGGAAGCTGAGACCACCAGTGGAGTTGCATGTTACGGTGGAGCTAATGGTACTAACGACTGGGAAGCAGCTCAGGCCGGGCAATTTCAAGTGGCCTGCAAAGATAATGGAACAGTGGCGATACATTCTATTGATGCATTAGGGAGCATTCCTTTTTTGCAGCTAATGGCACTAGCAGATGCGGCTTCTATCGTGGGAGCCGACGCTGCATTGGGTGGAAATGCAAGCGACCTGTTCGATTCTGGCTCTAGCTATCAAGTTGAATTGGAGTCCAGCTCTATGAGGGGTCGTCTCAGTGGAGGCTGCATACCTGAAGCCACAGGGTGTAAGTCCAGCTAATTTAAATAAAGTCATTTACACTTGGGAATCTTAAATATGGTATAGTTATGATGCTTGAATAACATTTAGTACAAGCATTAAAAAGAAGCTGGCGGACTTAAAAGCAGAGCTATGGTATTAGAAGTTAATATTTGGGGAAATTGAAGCAATCTATGAAAATTGGTAGGAGGAAACTGAATGAAAATAGAGAATTCATGATGAGTATACTTTCACCTATATTTGTTAATTCGGATATGCATTTTCTCTATTGCACGTCTGTTTCCTGTGAAGTTCTGCAATTATTTTTTTGGCTGCTGCTACATGCTTCAACTAGTTTAAGACCATATTCCTTCTACTTACGCTATGTGGAAAAGAACGTAATTATGAATAACATGACGAATCTCTATAAGTTCATCGTTGTTGACATCCAGTGTTCTGAAATTGAGTACTGCAAATTTACAGATGAAATGTCTGACCATAGCCAGCATGCTTATGACCTCAATTTTCCGTCTGGGACAGAGTCAGATGCAGCTGCTATCAGAATTACCTCCCAATTTGCACCGCCGACACCAGATATGGGCAAGAGTAAATATACCGAAAGTGAGGCTGAAGTACAGCAGATACCAACTGAGAACAGCAGAGATGAGAGAGAACAGAACCACAACTGTAATACTTCAATAACAATTGATGGTGAGAACCTGGGAGAAAATAAAGAACTTGAACCTGCAATGCAACCTACAATTACTGCTACCTGTACCCCAGATGGAAAGGAAGGCAAGAATGCAGATAACCTGAATAAGACACCACCACCAAGACAGAAAAGGAGAAAACACAGACCTAAGGTCATCATCGAAGGAAAAAATAACAGAAAAAATCCTAACTTGAAGTCCCATTGTCCAAGTACGAGAAAGCGTGTCAGGAAAAGTGGACTCAGTAAGCCTTCAGCAACTCCCCCAATAGAAATAATAGGTGAAACATCAAACCAAGAAATGCTCAAGCATAGCAGGAAGTCGTGCAGAAGGGCCATAAATTTTGATTCTCAGGCCCAAACAAGAGACTTATACTTCGATTCAAGGCAACTGGAAAAAGATCCACTCCCACAAAACATTCAATCAACTTCAGGACAAATGGAAGTGAGGCTTGAAGAAGTAGGCTCTTCCACTGATCCAAACTGGTCCATGAATCAAATGCTGAAAAGCTACGAATCTTTGCCAGAAAAACAAGCCCAATCAGCTGAAATTTCGGCTGAACATAATTCTCCTGAGAGAAGACTGCCTTCAAACAACCAAATGGAGAACAATACTGAACAAAATGGTAAAGTAATTTCCAGTTTTGAAAAGGGAAACACGGTAGAAACCATGCTGAATGATAATAATCGATCCTTACCAGGAGGTTCCAATGGTCTTATCTTTTGCAAGAACTCTGCTTTCACTGCAAGAGAGCAAGCCTCTTGTGGCCTGAGAAAACGTTCTCAGGCTATTGATCAAGCAGGTGCTGGGAGCATAAATTTAACAGGGGTCCATTATAATACATTATCTGCATATCAGTCGATATCCTGGATGCATTTTCCCACCATTTACAAGAAAAAAAGAACAGAGAAGAGGCAGAACCCTGTCTCCTCTACTGCATTTACTAGTGCAAGTGCCACACATTTCATGAGTCCAGAAAGTGCATGCTCTTTCAATGATTCCCAGAGAAATCACATGGCATTAGTATCCAATAGCTGGATAGCTGGACCTCAGTTTAGTACTTGTAAAAGTAAAATTGCAGCTGTGCATGGAAGACAGAACCTTCAGGATAAGTTGCAAACATATGGAAGTATCATGGCTTTAGGTCAGACTGAGAGAAAAAAAAGGAGACCCAGGTCAACCAAACGACTTCGTGACTTGGCTTTACCGGCAAGAATTGTCGATTGTGAGAAGCAGCCAATATATCCTACTAATCAACCTCTCGTGGACAGTTCTGTGAAAAATATCAATACATCTCAAACATGCATACATGCACTATCTGAGACGATGGAAGCAACAGTGGCAAAGAAGAAAAGAACCAAGAAGAATTCTCCTACAATTTCAACACTTCACAATATGAATAAAGATCTTCAGGACCGCAGATTTGTATCCTTCAATCCCTACCAATTCTTCCCCAAAACATTAGGTACCGGGATTAGAAATTTTTCCCAATGATCAAGATATTCACCCATTTAAAGAAAAATTTCTTTTCTTTTGTCCCTTTCCTTTATCTATACAGGCACTGCTTCAGAACATGGTAATCAAATGTGCTTTATCGATGCCATAGTTGAACAACTAAAGCATCTTGATATCAACAAGGAGAGCAACAATTTGGAATGTAGAGAGCGAGCACTTGTACCCTACAACATGCAAAATCAGGAGCACAATGCCATTGTTGTTTATGGAAGAAAGGGAACTATTGTACCATTTAATCTTACTAAGAAACGTTATCCTCGTCCTAAAGTCGAGCTTGATGAAGAGACTAGTAGAGTATGGAAGCTTCTGATGGGAAATATAAACAGCGAAGGCATTGATGGAACAGATGAAGAAAAGATCAAATGGTGGGAAGAAGAGCGAAAGGTGTTTCGAGGGCGAGCAGAATCATTTATCGCAAGGATGCATCTTGTTCAAGGTACAATATTAATTATTCAACTCTAAACCAACCACTAGCAAAGAGTTACTTCTAGAACTCCATGTAGACATCAAATGAATATCAAAGTTCAATGATGAATTGGCTTCGCATTCGGATAAGTTCATAAGACAATTGTTTTCATATTGATTGAGTATGACATTAATTCAGAAACATCAATCCAGGCAAGACAAGAGAGAGAGAGAGAGAGAAAGGGGAAGGTTATAGAGAAATAACAACTTTGACATACCTTCAGGTTCCTAGGCTTAGCAGTGTCGTGCTTCTTACGTACCTTCATGTAAATCCTTCTTGGAGCGGGGATCGAACAGAAAACCAAGTTTGTACGCTTAGAAGTTCTGTGCTTTTGTTTATATATATGTACTTGTGTCAGCCATATGTTCCAGCGAAAATTAATTTGCATGAAGGATTAGTCTAGGCCTAGCACGCATCCTTACTGTAGCAACTATGCTTATCGGGCTGAACAATAACATAATTGCATTTCTTCAGGAGATAGGCGTTTCTCTCAATGGAAGGGATCAGTTGTGGACTCTGTGGTAGGAGTATTCCTGACTCAAAATGTCTCAGATCACCTTTCTAGGTAAGCTAAATTGTCAAATGGTGTGAGCTAAGTGTAATTCAAAGTAATCTCTATCTCTTCTCCTTCTTTTACTAACTTCTTCTGAGGTTGGCAGCTCTGCCTTCATGTCTCTTGCGGCACGCTTTCCTCCTAAGCCAAATTGTCAACAAGCATCATGCTATCAACATCCTATTATAGAGTTGGATGAACCCGAAGCATACATGTTGAGTTTAGAGGATGACATGAAATTGAACAAACAGATAATGCAGCAACAAATAAGTGAAGAGGGTTCCTTGATGAAAAATGAAATCGAAAATAGTGAAGGGCAAATAATTGTTGACAGCAATGAATCTTCCGGAAGTAATGTCGAGGATGGTAGCTCAAACAAGGAACCAGAAAAAATAAGTTTTAGTTCATCTCATAACGTTGTTGGGACATGTAGCAATTCCGAGAGAGAAATATCATTGAGTGGAACCGGCCCAATGCAAGCATGTCTCTCCGGAGCCAGAGAAATATATGATTCATTTTCATTTCAAGACTGTTTGGATTCATCAATTTCTCAAACCAGTGAGAACATCGAACCATCCTCAGAAGGCAACTCAGAAGGTCTACCAAGCTGGTTGAAAGAGGTTCACATCAATTCTTCATCAGAGAAGCTTAATCAGATGGCTGGACTAAATACTCTGAATGATCATGTTACTATCGATACTTCCATTGAACAGACAGAGGTTCACACGAACATCAACCTAGCAGGAAAGAAGTGTGACAATGGAATAGATGATACTTCACAACCGGATGATCATGAAAAAGCCATGAAAGATTCTGTTAATCATTTGAATGGCAATCAAATGCAGCAAAACCACACCTCGGAATCATTGGAAGTTGACTGCCATCAGACGTGCAATGGAGTTCAAACTCCTAATGTTTACCACAAGGACGTAGATTTTCATTCTGAAAAAAGTACACTGACTGTAGAATCTCGCAATCATGCTAATGTTGAAATAGAGCTCATAGTAGATATCCATGAAGCACCGTTACCTAGTAGGGAATTAAGCATCAATGCGAAGGAGCCAGGTTTGACCTTACAGCCTCAAGGCAGTGTGATTGAAGACGCACAAAATGCTGAGTCGCCAGCAGAATGTACAAATAATGTGCATGAAATTCTTCCAAAATTTTCACCAAATGGTACAGGAATAGTGACACAGTCAAATCCAAAGGAGTATGATCATTCACTTAGTAATGGGTTTGAAGAGATGAAACCTGCCACTTCAAGATCTCAGAGAAAACAAGTTGCAAAGGAAAAGGAAGGTAACATTAATTGGGACAACTTAAGAAAACAGGTAGAAACCAACGGAAAGACACGACAGAGAAGTGAAAATACAATGGACTCGTTGGATTGGGAAGCAGTAAGATGTGCTGATGTGAATGAGATTGCACACGCCATCAGAGAACGCGGCATGAACAACATGCTTGCTGAAAGAATCAAGGTATCATTATAATGTTGATTTCAAACAACATGATCTAAATTTCTAATTAATCCCTAGCACTAGCTGAGTATTGGATGAGTAATTTGTACAGGATTTTCTAAACCGTCTGGTGAAAGATCATGGGAGCATTGATCTCGAATGGTTAAGGGATGTTGCACCAGACCAAGCAAAGTAAGATTAATCGAGAACTTAAATGTCAAATTCTTGAAATCGAAATTGAAGAATACTGAGAATGTTACCTTCTGCACTAGAGAATATGTTGCATCCATCAGAATTGTATGATTCATACAATGGGTTTAACACGCAAATGTAAAATATGCAGAGAATATCTACTAAGTATAAGAGGTTTGGGACTAAAAAGTGTGGAGTGTGTGCGACTTCTTACTCTTCATCATCTTGCCTTCCCAGTAAGCCAATATGAGTTAATGATATGAAATCAGATAAAACATATATATGATTTTCACTTGTACCTTTAACAGGTTGACACAAATGTTGGACGTATAGCTGTCCGACTGGGATGGGTACCCCTTCAACCGCTACCAGAATCCCTACAGTTGCATCTTCTAGAATTGTGAGTATGACAAGCCTACATTTTGGCAAAATCCATACAACTTTACCATATAAAAGATATGTCGAGAAAAATATTCTGAAATCCATCTTCCATTATTAAAGGTTTACAATTTTAAATAAATATTCTATCTCCTAAATTATTGTGTTTCTATTCATTAATGCTAGAAGTTGTTTCAAACTGTATCACAGTCATATAAACATAGCTTATCACTGATTCACATATGAAAAACATGATGATATAGACTCTAGGACAATATCTTTGCAAGTTTTTTAATAGTATAAAATGAAAATAAATGTTATTTTTTACTATAGTTCAGTTGATAATATCAGTTCTAAAAAAAAAAAGAAATGAACAAAATTTTAAGGAGGTTTTAATTATGACTTCTATTCCAAATAAATAATACAAAAAATGTAAGACTCGTAATATTACAAGTTAAAGAATGCAGACCTCTACAGAACGCACGTCATTGCCACGGAATAGTAAAATCAATCTTTGAAGCTTTTCTTGCTGCTCCTCCCAGGTACCCAGTGCTGGAGTCAATCCAGAAGTATCTATGGCCTCGGCTTTGCAAGCTTGACCAAAGAACACTGTAAGCATGTTTTCAAGTTATAAACCTAGAAATGGATGCAGTCTTTCTTTTCTATCATTTAGTTGGGGAAATTAAGAGAATTCAAACTAAATGCCTACGACTTGGCTATAAATCTGGATGCAGGTATGAGCTGCACTACCAAATGATTACGTTTGGAAAGGTAATTTCACTTGGAAATTTTGGTTCTAACATAAGCCAACTTAGAAACGATCTTGACAGGAATGTATGGTGCAGGTCTTTTGTACAAAAAGCAAACCAAATTGTAATGCTTGTCCAATGAGAGGAGAATGTAGGCACTTTGCAAGCGCATTTGCAAGGTTCGGCCATCTTTCTCCTAGACGTCCATGCAGTCTTTCTTTCCCTCTCTCTTTCTTCATTTCCTCCCTTTTATAGAGACAGAGAGCATGTGCACGTAAGCAACACAATTTAGGCCTCAGCTAATAACAACTTTTTGAGTTTTAATTCTTCCAGAATATCACTGAATCACAGTTGGGCAGGGACCCTACTTTAAAACTTAATTCTTGCAGCAATTCTCATAAAGTACGGAAATCTTTAATTATGGATAAGTAGGTAACTAATAGACATACTTCTTACATATCCAGTGCAAGGCTTGGCCTTCCAGCACCAGAAGATAAAAGAATAGTTAGCACTACTGAATGCAGAGAACCTGAAGATAACCAGGCCAGAACAATTGACCAACCAATGCTGTCCCTCCCTCCCTCAACAAAACCATCTGAAGAGATCAAGCCATCAGAAAGGCATCAATCTGACGGGAAGACTACAATTGGTATGTGTGTGCCCATTATTGAAGAACCAGCAACACCAGAGCAAGAAAGCACCACAAAAGATGCAATCATCGATATTGAGGATGCTTTCTATGAAGATCCTGATGAAATTCCTACAATAAAACTTAACATTGAGGAGTTCTCACAGAATTTACAGAACTACGTTCAAAAGAATATGGAACTTCAAGAAGGTGACATGTCAAAAGCCTTAATTGCACTAACCCCAGAAGCCGCATCAATTCCCATGCCTAAACTTAAGAATGTCAGCCGGCTGCGAACAGAACACCTAGTGTAAGCAAAACATTTGCTGCATTTATCAAGATCTTTCGAATTCCCAAATAGATGGTGCTATCAATAGGGAATAAATTGAAAGCAGTAAAAGATAGATGATATCATTTAATGGTTCAGAAATTGTTTGGTCAGTGGATGTCCAAAGTCAACCGGTATAGGTATCACATTCCAAACGAATATTTTTCATTTGCGTACTAATTTTTTTTTTTTTCACCGTCTGCAGCTATGAACTTCCAGATAATCACCCTCTTCTTGAAAAGGTTCGTGATTCTTACATCTAAAGAAAGAATATTTTTTACTTTCTTTTATGGGGAATGAGGAGAATTATAACCATGTGGCATTTCTCATAATACAGTTGGAGTTGGATAGAAGAGAACCAGATGATCCCTGCTCATACTTTTTGGCTATCTGGACACCAGGTAGAAGTAACTCCAAAACGTTATAAATATCCCTTATTTCGTGGACAGAACCAAAAGGCAAAAAATTATAGAGTATTACTTTTGACGTACGTTCGATCATGAGTTCTATTTTTTGTATCACTTAGGTGAAACAGCAAATTCCATCCAACTACCAGAAAAGAGATGCAGTAATCAAGAACATCATCAATTGTGTCTTGAAGAGGAGTGCCTCTCGTGCAACAGTGTCAGAGAAGCCAACTCTCTCATGGTTCGAGGGACTCTTTTGGTGAGACATGTCTAGTCAAATAAGTGGTTATGCTCAAATATACCTAGCATATCGAATCTTAATCAATATCCCCCCCCCCCCCCCCCAAAAAAAAAAAAAAAAAAAAAAAAAAAAAAAATCAAGAATAAAAACCACAGCAGTAGGTTTCTTAGTAGGATTACCCACCTGATATGGATGGAACTCTCCTTTGCAGATCGAAGGCTTGAATCTTCAGGTGGAAGCAACTTGCATAAAGCCAACGCTTCCTCAAAGTTACCAGACGCTGTTAGTTGTACAATCTGCAACCCAAAAGACAGTTTCTTACATGTAAACCTCAGAGAAAGATGTTTGTGCTATATCCAGATTTTGGTGCATATAAACCGAATCATCTCTATTTAATAATGCACAATATATCTGAAACTATTACTATCATACTCAAATCATAAAACGATCTAATTTTGTACGTATTTCCCTTTTGATAATCGACAACATAAACACAGACATCCCAAACTACAACCGCCCATAATTAACACAATCTTGTAATGGGCTGAGGATCACCTGTGCACCAAGGGGAACAGGGAAGAGGCCATAGGCAGAATTGTCTAAACCAACAACCAGAGCATGATTACTGTCAATAAGATGCCGACCATTTCGAAGGACAATGGTTTGTATCAATGCATATGGAGACCAGAGAGACCGAATCTGCAAGTTTAAAGAACGGAAGAAAATGTAAAGATTTCAATGACGAAGTGTTTGAAATTGTTTACAGTGGATTAAGGATACCTCAATATATCTTGGCAACAAAGCAATGGCATAGGGCTTCTGTATGACAACGACAGAAGGTGCCTCTGACCAACAAATCCGACCTTCTTGAAGAAGCTTCCCATTTTGGTCCACGAAAACGCCAATGTTATCCTAAAAGTTAGACAAAAGGTGTTTATTCCTTAAATATCTAAAGAAAATGACANCCCAAAAAAAAAAAAAAAAATGAAAAAAACAGATACCATGCCGGACAGCAATGAGAGGAAGCTTTCCACTGAATGGTACCTACTTTCAAGTCAATGAGGTAAAGTTGAATACTGTTTACACCATGTTTTCATGTTTTCATTCGAGGCTTGGTGCCACAACTAACTATAATTATTTCCTTTGTAGGTGTTTGCAGATCACGAGTCAAGCCTCAACCCAATAGATGTTCCAAGGGACTGGATATGGAATCTTCCCAGACGCACCGTGTATTTTGGAACCTCCATACCAACGATATTCAAAGGTTACTCATAGAACATATACCTCTTATAGTGTGATTGATTATATATAAACAGCTTTTCTTGTCCACCAGGATTATCGACACAAGGCATCCAACACTGTTTCTGGAGAGGTACCTATTCTAAAACTAACCTGATGTCCTATCATCTATATTGCGCCATTGAAAAAAAGTAATGTAGTTTTCTATATAACATATATATGATTGCAGATGATATACGAACAAGTGTAGCATGTATAAAACAAAATACAAGGTTAAAAATGTGAGAATGCTGGTAACAGTACAAAATATTAGGATTTACTGGTCCAGTGTTCGCATCAACCAATTACTTGGGGTAAACATTAAACAATTATCATAAATCTTGCAACCTTTTCATTCTTCTATCCTTTGGCCAACATGCGGCACGTAGAATTTTTCAATTGAACGGTCATCTACATGATATATGAGCTATTGAGTCTAGCCTATCTGAATACACAGAAACATCTATTTTCACTCAAATGTATTCAATATAATATGCAGGATTCGTCTGTGTAAGAGGTTTTGATAAAAAATCAAGAGCACCCCGACCCTTGATGGCCAGGCTTCATTTTCCAGCCAGCAAATTGAACAGAGGAAGAGGTAAGACAGTGGATCAATGAGAAAACAAGGAGATGAAGCCCAAACCAGGACAGCACAAACAACATAGCGGTAAGAAAAGAACATCATTTAGTAACATAGCTTCCAACCATCGCAAATAAGTTAGTATCCACTTGTAAATTCCTGTATGACACGTGATTAACAAGATTAGAATTAGTCATTTCAAGCTCTAAGTCCGAATCATTCATATAAAACTAGCTACCGGCACAAAGCCAAGATGTATTTATTAATTTCTCTATCCAAGATGTGAGATTCCAGGTTCAATAGAGATTACAGCACGTCAGACTTTCAACCTATGAGCCTGAAAATTTTCATGAAAGAATTACTCAAACCATTCACATCATTTTTAAATAGAGAACGTGGAAGTCTTTACAGAGAAATTTATTTAGAATACCTTACTCGGACCATGAAAGTAGCGCTCATCTACTGGTGCGCGTGACAATCCAGTAATGGTTGTATTCTAGGTTTCTACCAATGTCCAATTATATGCCATGTAATCTTATCCGTTTACTCGAAGAAGAACAAATGAAAAATCAATCGGGACTCACACTTCAACATGCCATGTAATCTTATCCACTACTAACTCCGTTTGAAGATTATATCTCGTGAATTTCGAATGCCCGAAAATTGAATTGAGCACAATCAGTTACCAATTATTGAGAAAGAAGCAAACAAAAATAGTAAGTGGTATAGATATGAACAGATTCTTACGCAACTTCATAAATAACCATTCGTTCAAAAATCTTAAGTTCGGCTGGAGTAAAATCGTCCTAATGGCACAGACATCAAATTTTTAGCAATCGAAATAAAAAATGATGTAAGGATACGATTGTCAGGTAAATTGATCACCGATCAATTTCAACAAGAATATGAAGCGTAGTCATAAATCCACTACATTGGATGAAGACGCGTACCTTGATTCCAATTGTATGATCCACGTGAAAGCGTTGATGGAAATTGGAGCGCAACGGGAGATCGAACTGAAGAGAGAGCAGATTGAGCTAGGACGGTTATTGTCCATCAACTAATAAACAAAATAAAAGTAGTCGAGTTATGTAGTAGTGCACAGCTCTTGCGCAACTTCTTAAACAACGATTAATTCAAAAATCTTAATCCGTTAGGCCTTATCGATCTTATTTTAATGGCACAGACATCAAATTTCACGCAACAGAAATTGGAGAAATTGAATTTGAATTGACGAAGCAGAATACGCTCATCAGATAAACGGAACTCCGACCAAAAATCAACTATAACTCTGAACATCTTCTAAAACTACTATTTCAGATGATGAAGCCTACCTTGACTCCGAAAATACGATCCAAGTGGCCGTGCAAATGTTATCGGATCACAGAGGAAGACCGATTTGAAGACAAAACACAGATTGAGCTCAAACGGTTACCAATCGTCGACAGTAAACAGTATACAAATATTCAAGTTATATAGTAATGAACAAATCCTGCACAACATCCTAAACAATCATTAATTCTAAAATCTTAAGTTGTTGTACTGGAGAAAAATCGTTTCAATGGACCCGACATCAGAGAGATTACAGATAATGTGAGAAACTAAATTGAATTGGACGAAACAGGATACGGTTGCCGGATAAACTGAAATTTGACCAATTTCAACTAGCGGTTCAAACATCGTTAGAGAGCACTCTTTCACATATGAAGAAACGTACCTTGGTTGCGGATGTATGGTGCGATTGAAATCGCAGATAGAGAACGAGTCGCGAAGGAGATCGGACTGAGGAGTAAGCGTCAAGAGCCAAAGATGTGAGAAAGCGGAAAGGGAGGCCGTGAGAGTGAGAGAGAACGGGAAAAAAGTGGCTGTTATTGCTTCTTGCCGCCAATATTTTTTACTTCCCGCCTAGTTCAATTGATTTTAGTTTTTTTTTTTTTTTTTTTTTAACTTAAACATGTGGGAATAAAAGTACACTATAAACCCCTCTCTCTAATAGCCTCCCCTTAATTTTGATTACTTTTTAACCTCCCCTTAATTTTGATTACTTTTTAAGTACACTATAAATCTCTCGAATAGCCTCTCCTTAATCAATGGTCAACTCCATTCTTTGAAGTCCTTTAATAAAGTACTTTTTGTTCGACACTCTATTCACTTTGAACTAGACCTTCAAGGCTCACAATTCTTTGTTCGATATTTGAGGATTCTATTACATGACTAAGTTTAGGGCATGACTCTGATACATTGTTAAAGGACTCTCCACAGTGATATGATATTGTCCACTTCGAACATAAAGCTCTCGTGGCTTTGCTCTGAGTTTCTCAAAAAGCCTCAAACTAATGGAGATGTATTAACTTACTTATAAACTCATGATCATTCCCTAAATTAGCCAATGGGAGACTCACTCCCAACAATCCTCAACATGGGTACCAGTTTTATTGATTCTTTGTATATTTTAAGGTCGTTTATTTGGCCGACGTAATAGATATATAATTTATTGTGTTTATTAATAGATATATAATGGATATAACACCCTTTATAAAGATTTAATGAAATTTTAACCAAATCTTTTAATTTTTAAATTACAAAACACATGAGAAATGGCATAGACCGATTGAATAAAATGGTAGTTCAACAACCTATTTTAATCGGGAAGCTATCAAAACCACGCGCACGTGTAAACCCCACGCGGGAGTCTCGTAAAGAATTTCAGGCGCGTGGAATGGAAATGACTTCAGTCGTTACGAATAATCTTATTGGGCCTAATTTAAGGGTGATGGAGCCAACTGCGAATTAATATCAGATCTTCGGCAAAATAAATTAATTAAGAATTTACTGGACAAAAGAATATTACGAAAACGCCACTACGCATAAAAGTTCTGTATGGTTCCCAGCTTCTCTCTCCGACAGTCGAATTTCTGAAAGAGACATACTCACCGGAAAGGTGGAAAATCGAAGGGAGGGGAAATCTTCATCGCTTCGATGGTGGATTTTCGGGACCGAACGGATTCCAGTTGATCGGAATTCTCAGAATCTCGATGGAAATGCCCGGCAGGAGATTGAACTACACGCTTCTCAGTCAAATTCCAGACGACCAGTACAGTGGAGGCGTTGCTGTGGCTGGAGCCGGAGCTTCGACATCGTTGATAGAAACATCATCAGGAGAGGGGAAGAACGACAGGAGAAAGTTGGAAAGAGGATTGGATTGGGAAGCGGGTGGTGATCACAGGTCGGGCCAGCAGCAGCAGGTTAATTGGATCGGTAATATGTACTCGACGTTTGGTTTGCAGAGGCAGTCCAGTGGAAGCAGCTTTGGAGAGAGTTCGATATCCGGGGAGTACTATGCACCGACACCATCGACTACAGTGGCTAACGAGACGGATGCGTTTGGGTGTACGCACGATGATGTGCTTAGGATTGGAGGCGATTCGAGACCACAGACAGCCGAGATGGCCGCTGGGACTGGAGGATCTTCTAGTAAGAGCTGGGCGCAACAGACGGAGGAGAGTTATCAACTGCAGCTGGCATTGGCGCTTCGGCTTTCATCTGTGGCGACTTGTGCTGAGGATCCTAATTTCTTAAATCCATTTCAGGATGATTCAGTTTTAAGGAGGTCGATTAGCTCTGCTGAGGCTGTGTCACATCGATTTTGGGTAGAAATTGTTTTCAATCCATCACATTTTCTAATCCGTGCTTATGGTTTTGTTGCGTTGACTTCAGTGGCTATGCTAATTTACATTATGTTTATTCTAGAATTTAGTCTAGATAGCAACCAGATTGGTAACTGTCGGATGTCGTGTCAAATCCTGATTACCCGATAACGGATTGATGCAACATCTATTTTCTCCGCAAAATTGTCGATGAAGAATGATAGGGCAATAGCGTGGACCTCTGATGATAATTCGAGTTTGATTTTATATCTATACAAATAAAATATGATAGACTTTTGCTGTAGATGTTACTGAAGCAGCATATGCCATTGGTTGCTTCCTAGGAAAAGGCTTACGGCTGATGAAGTAGAATGGCAATATAGATCTAGAATGTGGTAACAAATTAAGAAAACACGACCTTACTTTCT